TTCTATTAAGTTTAATTCAATGTATCTGGAGTTTTATTACCAGTTCTGTACACGTACGAATATAATCATCTGACACGCGCGAGTAAGAATTGCATTTGATTGAAATTTATATAAGATTGTACAATTGACTGATTTCTAATACTTTTCATGTTTCAATTCAATTCATAAAAATGTTATTACAGAACGCCTTAAAAGTTACATAGCAATATATTTAAATATATAATAGAAAAATAAGCTCGTGTATACAACGCATTAAAATTACCCATTAATTATATGTTTTTTTAAACGAGCTATTACAGTTAACTCGTAAAATTTGTTACAATAAAATTTATCTTTAATTACATACGCACAACTCTATAAAATTCAAACGTTTCGACTTTCAAAATTTCTAGTAATGATAATAAATACTGACATTTTTTTTTATACAACCCCATATAAAGTAAAGGTATATAATAAAATAATTGTTATGTTTAAGTGAACCAACTTAAACATACTCTATATATTAAAAGTATGTTTTATTAATTCTTTCGTTATTGTCGTGAATCCAGTTCAGTCAACAGCTTGCTGAATTATCGATAAAAACTGATGAATTAGTAAAACACACTTTTATAATTAGGACTTCTAAATTTCTTATTGAATATCTATTCCGATCCGTAATATCGTAACGCAGGAATAAGTATATATAAGATTCGCTTAGAGCGATAATTTTTATTATATATTATGTTTAAGTTTGTTCACACTCTAAGGGGAGAGTTATATAAAAATGTTATTTATTATTATCACTAATGAAGACTTTGTAAGTCTGAACGATTGAATTTTATAGCGTTGTGCGTCTGTAATTGAAAACCAATTTTATTTTATGAATTAACTGTAATTGCTTGTTTAAAAAAAGCCTTAACAATTTGATCTTAGTTGTTAAATATATTATGTATTTGTACGTGTGATAAAATAATGATTACAGAAACTGTACTAAACACTAGTTTTCTTCTATAAAATATATAAAGAGCATTTATATAATATTAATTAACAATTTCATGGAAAAAAATGCTCAATTCTATTTGTAAGATCATTTATGTTTTTTGAATTAATAATGAAATTGTTAAAACAAAACAAATAGAATGTATAAAATCAACTTTCCATGCTTTTGGGCAAATATAAAGAATACTTTATTTATACCTAATATGTTCGTTCCAGTGATCGCTCAAGGTCGAGAGTATTTCAGCAGGGTGCGAGTCCAAATTTTCCAAGGGTAACGGTTTTCGACAAAATGAGCAATTTGCGAATTCAGTGTCCTTTATTTCGTAATTATCCAATATTTTTTGTCCAGAAACAATTTTTACTGCTTTTGCGAAAAAACTTTTTTTGTCCTCTTCATGATGCGTTACCGAATGATTTTTAAATGGTAATGCTTTACCAAATTTACTTTTAATTTTCGCGTCACATTTTAACTTAAGACATTTCCCAACGTCAATTTTCTTCTGATATTGGCGAGAAAGATCAAAATTTCTTGCTACGGACTCATATTCTGGGTCTTCCATTATTTCTGATTTATAATGCGTTTCGTATAAGTGACGTATCATTGTAACATGATCGCTAATAAAATCAGGCTTGGATTCTTGTATACAGTATTCACATTTGAATAACTGATTATTATCTTTCGCGTCTGATCTATATTCTTTGTGTAACTGCACTATATCTTCTGGTCGCTGTTGAGCCATTTTCGTTAACACCGTTCACTACCATGGATTGCTCACGACTAACTGCTTATTACTTGGAGAAATGTTTACTATTTCAAAATTGGTCATAGCTGAAAAGTCGAAGAAAGATACACGTCTTTTTGTCAGAAAATATAAATACTGATAACTTTAGTTGTGTGTACTAAATATATCGTTTGACCGACAAATTGTGTAGCTCTACATCTCAATAAATATTTAATAGAATTTTAATATTTAATAAAATTCTAAAATCTTAAATTATTGAAACACACAGAGAAAGAAAGAGTATTGTTATTTTAGAAATGTCATTATTTCTAAAATATAAATCTTAAAATAAGATTATGTAGCGTTAAACCAACGTAACTTGCTGATAATGAAATTTTATTTAAACTAAGAAGAATATATTCTCGTTATTCAATAATAATAATTATGATTTAGAAGAAAGGAAATACCACATAGAAAATAAAAATATCTTGAAATCGAGAATCAGAATTTCTTTAAATAGATATTAGATTTTTGTTTCATTGTACCGTTTTTTTGAATCCAGCTGTTCGAATTTTTAAATTGTTGTATTAATATTAAGCGTTTATCCCATACGTGGTCTCAATATAAAATGTACGCGCTATAAGAAATAAACGCTCAGCCCCTATATTCTTTAATTCGTTTATATGTATGTTGTCGTTATATGTTTATAACGATAATTGCGCTGATATTTTATATAGTAAAAAGCCTGCGAAACTGCCTTTACGAACACACAATGAAACACTGCGTGACAAGTTACATATATTGTGCAATAAGCCGTTACTACAGCTTTAATAAGTTTTAAAGCTTAAGAAATTAATCATTTATAGTTGAACATAGAAAGAATTTTATTTATATACGTATTTACACAAAAATATGTTCTCGTTATAACTGTTGTTCGCATGAAAATTTGAAATCATTCGTATATTATAAATGAATCGGTTAGAGTAGCTAGTAAAGCAAAACTTATAATAAATCTTACAAGACTTAATAGATTGTTATACCTAATGAATTTAATTATTTGTTTAATTGATTATGTTTTATTAAAGATTTTAATTTTCATTCTTTAGAGTAAGATTCCACTCTAAATAAAAGAATTTAGAGAATAGAGATTTGTAAAATAGTGGGCGGTTTTATTAAACATTTTAGACTGTTAATTTCTTTTGCCTTTTCGTTACGATTATAGCCTTTACTACACGATTATAGCTAAAATATAAAAAAAGTATAATATTGTAATTAATGAGAAAACAAGACTTTGAAGATTAACGCGTGACATTAGATGATTCACTAACTATATTTTTATAATGTCATTGATGACGCATATGTATATATATATATATTCTTTAATACAAATTATTTTTTTCTTGACTCAATTAATTAATACAAAAATTTTAGAATATGTTTGCATAATAGCAGTTAATAAAAAAAGTTGAGATATGCATACTCAACACGCAATGCCAAACAATTTTTAATTAATGTATATTAATGCGACGTTCAATTAATAAACCATTAAATTTAATTGTAAGAATAGCTTAAACAATGTCAGATGGTTTATGTAATAAAACAGAAAATATGCGATGGTAATCGAATGAAATTAATTTATAGAAAGAAGCATTTGAATATTTTATAAAGCGTTACATTTTCAAACAAAATATTAATGGCATCCTTCTTGATATGTGAAGTCTATTTTCTGTAGCTGAACTAGTGCACGCTTTTGGAACTTAAAGTGAAATAAATATATATTTGGCATTTGACGAAAGTGAGAAAGAGAGTTATACTGTTTAGTGTAGTACTCTCTAAAAACTCTTATATTTCGGTTGTCGCGCAGCATTATCTATTACACAGGACAACGATTAATATATTTCATATTCATCGTAGCGACTGTAGCTTTTTCTAGCATGATACTTCGGACGACATATTCATTAAAATGCAATAACCGAAACGAGAGATATAGGATGCTTATTTGGCCACTGCGTCGTTTCTTGCCACGCGTAACGTGTTGATGTATGCAGCAGGGAAGAGTCCCGTATAAATAACGCAAATAAAATGGGCGAGCGATTCAAAATCAAACAATCAATGATTTCAAATTAATTTATTTTCGAATTTTTCAAATTCGGAAAAAAGAACGAATCAAATCTAGTGAAATTTAATTAAAATTTTAATAAATTTACATTCCATTAGACATTGTAATGTTAATTAAAAAAGAATTTAGTATAGCATTATGAAAAGAAAGTACAAAATTGAATATTAAAAGAATATATAAATCTCAAGAAGCTATCTGAAATATAAAGGACTATTCTTTACAATAAGGTATACGATCATCATGACAGATTAACCAAATAATTGTTTTTTAATAAACTTTATATGTTTGTTCAAAAGTACACATAAAATCCTAATAAAAAATCACCAATAGTGCCTATCCAAATGTTAAGGAATAAACGCTGTTAAAAATAAATTCTAAATACTCCGCACTGAAGCCGATTTCTGATGAATTTAAGTATTATAGATGCTATAAGTGTTTCTGGATTTATGTTAACTGCATAATATAATGCAAGAAACAGTAGGTTTATAAAAAAAATTAAAATAAAAAAGAAAAGAAACGAATTTGTTGCCGCCTTAAAGTTTTTCGTAAATATGTATTCTTAAATAAAAGATATGACGTAATATTCACTGAGTGGGAATTGGTAAATTACAAGTAAATAATGCGAAATAATATATGAATATCATACAAAAGTTCTACATTTCTAAAAATTTGACATATAAAATTTTCTCTAATTGATTTCCGTGATTTTGCTTGGACTGTAAGGGATAGACTCCTCATCCTCGTCAATCTTCCGCAACCGCTGCAGTTCTGCTTGTCGCGTCCTGAAAAATATCATAGCGGTTTTTTAATCGCGATCATGTACCAAACTCACCTCGGAATTGACAGTGAACAAAGTTCGCAACAAACCTTGCTAAAACCTCCTCATTTTCCCGTTCTTGTTTTCGGCTCTTGAGAGCTCGATATCCGACGCAAATGATTACTAACAGAATGGGTATCAGACAAGCCAGCACTATGCCGCTGGTAATGCCCGCTTGACGAGAGCTATATTCCTGCTGACCTGCGATATGCATAATAAAATACATCGTACATTACGCTACACTGAACGTATAAGAAAAAGATAATCGAATAATCGTGACAATTTTTTAATTTAAATGGAAACAATTTACATTTTGTGCTTGCCATCTAAAGAATACAGATAATGGTAGAATTTTATGATAAGCTATAGAACAGAATAATGTACTATTTTTCTAACATAGAACAATAAAAGAAATTTTTTATGTAGATGTGTGTGATAACTGATAAAATTGTATTTTTAAACGGAATACATGGAAATGATAAACGCAATCAGCATGCTATTACACTTAACTTAAATGATTTCTTTCTATTAGAAGAAAATAAAAGAGAGAGATTATTTCAAAATATAACTATAAATTTTAAAATATTGTATAAATATAATATATTTAAGAATACTTAAGTCAGTTTATCGTAAAATCTCATGAAATATTTCCTACAAAATACTAAAATATATAAATTTCTAATTATAATTAATTTTAAATACCATTATTATTAAATAAATTTATTATTAAATAAATTTTTCGTAATAAAACATTAAATGAAATAATCAAGTAACAGAAGGAAGGGAGAAAGAAATATATTGTTATAGAAAAAAAACCCAACACTCTGGTAGAAATTTCCATTCCATTCGAATGCTGTTCTAATGCTGCATTATGTAATATAAATCATGCTTTTTTAGGTAACTCAAACATTCTGTGCATGCATGTGGAATAGAAATTTCTTATCATTTTGTTTAATGATGTATAAAATTTTATTAAGATTTTTTTACAATATGTGAACACAAATATGAGTGATTGAATTGTAATAAAATACATAAATACTATCGTTGCGATTGTATAAATCCATGATACAATTAAATAGTTGCTATTGCATTCAACCATTGCTTATAATCACGTAATCTAATCTTTTGTAAAGATAATTAACAATGACAACAATTTGAAAAACTAATATCTAGTTTTAGACTCCTTTAATTTAATAAAAATAAAAATAATTACAATGTAAAAAAGACTGTAGGAGTCGACGCTGGTTATAAAATAGCGATTATTTAAATTATTAAATCTTTTGTGTTAACTAATTATCGCTATGCATATACATATAGGTGAGATAATAAGTATATTTTGAATACAGTTAATACTGTATTTCTATTCCACAGCAAGAACAGATATGTAGTATCTCTATTATTTACAAAACTATACATTAAATGGCATCGTACGATAACGGAAATGATATGTTTGAAAAATATCACCTAAATCTTCTAAAGAGAAAGAAATTATCAATAGTTGTTTTTATACTAGGTTTTAATCAGTCGCGCATCAAATTAATTTTTCGATCAATATATATATAATATATTAAACAGATATTATGTTGTCACAGATATATTAATATAAAGAACGAAAGTGGCTCGTATTAATTATATAAAATTAAAAAGTTAGTATTAAACGAATAACAATAGATGTCAAATTAATAAAACGTATGTATTTAATAAATCGGTTTTGACTTAACAAAGCTTTTTTCAGCCGCAATGAGCATTTAACTAGTCGAATACAATTAAAATAGAATAAAGAAAGTTTTTATATAAAACATGATGTAAAAATATGCAACATATAGATGAAAAAAATTTTTGTCTATTTTAAATATAGTCAATTGGTTGAGTAACGGCTGAAGAGGGCTTTATTAAATTGAAACATTCTACTT